AACTCTCTTTAGGATCTCATTCTAAAAAGTCATTGCTTAATTATTGATGACTTTCAAACTTCTCATCAGCTAGGTATGCTTTCTCTATGTCTTCACCTTGTCTGTGCTACTTCTTGCTTTTGTTGAGCACATGTGCCATTGAGACTGGCTCTCAGCCATCTGATTGCCTTCTGGATTAGAAGCAGATGAATTTCCACTATGTGGTTTTGGTATTTAATGCTTAGCTCAGTCTATTCTTCACTGAGACTTTTTAGTCTAAGAAGCACATCCTTTTGGTCTTTACTTCTGGTACCGTCAGGAATTGAAATTTTCCGATTATAATACATGAACTAAATTTTTAGTCTATATTTATAACCAGTGTGCATATGATACTGTGCTAGGTGCTTTTGAGGAAACAGAACAAAGTGATTGAGATGTAAAAGGAGGAATAAAGATGACACAGATTTACTGTGTCTATAATGCTGAGTATGACTTGTGTCTTTTTTTTTTTTGGAGAGGTTTTTGCTATAGGGTGCGTACGCTTGCCAGAAAGACAGACAGAGAGATAGACATCTTCCCAGGGGAGATGGCCACGCCGCAATACCTTCTCATCTCGGAATCTTGGGCACGCATGCACACACGCCCAGCGTGAGTTTAACCCACTAGGTCCAGGACTCGAACCACGGTTGACTACATGGGAGTTCAGCGACATAGCCATTACGCTAACTGCTGGTCCCAGTATGACTTGTGTCTTAAGAGAAGTTGTTTCTGGGGAGGAGATGACATTTGGGATGGACTTGAAGCCTATTTCTCCATCCTGTTGGGATTTGGGGCATGCAAATGCACATGCCTGGACTCTAATTGCTGTCAGCCATAAGGGATCTTAGCCTTAACCACTAAGGCTACAGGCTTACTCTGTGTGCTTTTTAATTTAAATTCAAATCTGTAGTAAATCATGTACATATTTGAGCCAGCCTTGTTTTACATGTTGAGAAACCTCAGTGTGGATAATTTTGGCTTGATTTGAGAAAATCAAGAATAAAGAAATATTTTCTGCAATCTTCCATAGAAGAGTTTTCTGATGAGGTAGTAGTAGCTTTATCTACCACTGTCCTTGCTTGAAGTAGGTGCTTGGGTTCATAACTTTATTCCCCCGGGAGCTTTCATAGGGAGCTTTAGAAATTCATGTACCTGAAGGTAGGACCTAGGCCACTCCTAATGCAAAAGTTTCAATGTTTCTAGCAAATAAAATGTTACAGAGTAGACCATTAGACTTCTTATACTTTAGCTTTTAGTTGTATAGAACTGGGATTAGCAGGTAGCGTGGTGGTTAAGGGCGCTGGACTCCCACATGGCCAACCATGGTTCAAGTCCTGGACCTGGCGGCTTTCTTTCTCACTCTCCTCTCTCTCTCTCCTCCCTTTCTAGTCAAAATTAAGAATAAATAAATAAGTAAATAAGGAAGTTTTATAGAACTTTGAGTTTATTAATGTAGATACATATCTAAGGATTTGGAAAGTGTATTTTTATGTAAGTGAAAAGTAACCTTTTTTTGTTAAATCTTTCTTTTCCATCAGTATGTACAATGAATCAAGTTCTTCATTTCTAGCATTCCCTTAAGATATCTGAAAAGAGAAAAATGGAAAAATGCTTTCTAAATCTATTCCTTCATATTTATTATGCTGTTGGTAACATTTTACTTTTTACTAGTAGTTCTTGGATAAGGTAGTTGTGTGTGTGTGTGTGTGTGTGTGTGTGTGTGTGTGTGTTTAATTTTTTGCTATAGGGTATGTGCATTTGCTAGAGAGACAGAAAACAGAAAGTGAGAGATCACCACCCGGGGGGGTTGGTCATGCTGCAGTCCCTTCTCGGATTTGGGGTACACTCGCACACGCACCCTCAGCTAACTTCAAACATTGAGATCTGGGACTTGAACCACAGTTGACCATGTGGGAGTCCAGTGCCTTAACCACCATGCCACCTGCTGGCCCCAGATTAGGTAGATTTTTATGTTTTATGCTGCTAGAGTAGAGATTCTGCATTAATAAGAAAATGTTCCCTTTTGGACCAGTCTGTCGCCTGATGGTTAAGGGACCTGGATCCCAATTGGCTGACCTCGTGGTTTGGGCTTGGAAAACACCCTGGGTATGTGTGTGTCCAAAAATCCTGAAAAGGAGGAATGGAGAACAGATTATGATGTGACTATGCCCCATGGTAGGGGATGCTTTCTCCCACTCTGTCTCTCTCTGGCTAGTTCATGTACTTTCTGACATTTTATTTTATTTTTTTAAAGAACATTTTGAAAATTTGTTGTATTTAGGGGTTGGCAGGTGGTATTGGTGGTTGAGTTGCTGGACTCCCACATGGCTGACATTGTAAAAGCCCCAGACCTGGTGATCTGAAAATCACAACAAATAAATAAATGTATTTTAAAATAATTATGGTATTTGCCTGTTTTATACTAAAAGAATGGATTTCTCAGTTCCTTTGTGCTGAAACATATATCCTGCAAGCTCTTAATTTAAAAATAATGTGGAAGAGAAGTTCTGAAATTATAATTACTTTTTTCAGCATTATAAATTGACTTACTACTTTTTTTAAACTTTACTTTTGCTATGAGTGAGAGAGCAGAGAGCAGAGACTTTTGGCAGTGGTTTTTTTTTTTTATCCTTTTTCTTTTTTTTTTTTTAAATAAATCATCAATCATTTATTAGGTTCTTGGCAAGAAATTTAGAACACCAATTTGTGAGGATAAACTACATTTGTAAGAGCAGACACGGATTGCAGATAGCCCTGGAGCTGAGGACAGCTTTGATTTTGGTAAAATTTGTGAGCCCACAGCTCTCTGATCAACCTTGTGCTGCTCTGTAATCTCGTATTTCTCCTCTGTGATCTCATATTTCTCCTCTGTGTCAAAGAGCTCACTTTCCTGGTGTCTGGGCATCCGCAGCTTCTTTTTCATAAAGTAAGCATCGGTAAGGTGGTTTGGGACTTTTACTTTGTTAATGGAGATTTTCGTGGAGGTGGCGATGATAAATTGCTGTGTGTTCTACACAGTGGAACTCGATTGAGGACCAGAGGACCAGTCACAAGTAGTAAGCCACTGCTCAGCTGCTTCAGGAAAACCACTCTCTTGCCTCTTTGGCGTCCAGTGAGGATGATGAGAATGGTGACGTGAGTCTGGCGTCCAGTGAGGATGATGAGAATGGTCCCGTGAGTGATGCTAGCTCGCAGCTTTCTCACATGCTGCCTGAAGGGGTTTTTGCTATGGCTCAACAACTTTCAAGGCACATCTTCAGTAGGATAATACCTAGGTATTTTGTGAAGTTTAACCACCCGGTACCACTGTTTTTGTCCTCACCAACTGGTTTTTGTGACAGTCGCAAGAACCTTCTTTTTCTTTTCGATCCAGGATTTAGTGGCTGAGTATTTCCTCTTTCACGTCGAACACATGGCAGTCCGGGAGTATTTGCTGATGCCCTGGACTATGACCAGGTTTTGGCTGCAATGGGATTTTCCCTTCTTGGGCCTTTTTAGCCTTGGGGTCACACCCTTTTTAACCTTGCCACTGGCATCAGCCTTCTTGGCCTCAGGTTTCTTCTCCTTAGTATCCTGCTTCGCAGCTTGTCTTGTATAGTGGGAAAGAGGGCTAAGCTCTCCCTTTGGCAATGTTTCTTCACATTGAATCTCCGTCCCTTAGCCCTCTGCAGCGTGTCAGGATCCTGGGTCCAGTATGTTTTCAGGTCTGCTTGGGATACATACATACATATGTGTGTGTGAGTATATATATATATACACACACACACATATACATATTCCCACGTGGCTTCCAGTGCTGCAGTTCATTATCAAGGCTGGGTCCTGATGGTGTAATCCACCTCCAGCCCCAGACAGCCCTGGGTGGCATGTGTGTGTCTGGTGTTTATAAACCAGGAACCTAATGGAATGGGTCAGCTTTACAGACCCACGTGTTGCCATTTGACCCCTGATGTAATACTGTTGTGATCACTGATTGTGGTTTTTGTCGGACAGACATAAACTGTTAGCATTCCTTGAAATACTGGTTTGTTGGAAAAGTCATGATGCACTTTTGCATAGAAAAGCAGAAAAAATACGACATGACTTTTCCGACAATCCAGTAAATCAAAGAAGTCTTGTGGCATTTGTCACTAAATTGAAACTTGTGCCTCTGAGTCAGTAGAATCACTGAGCCAGCATGAACTGCCATACTAACTCTTGGTTAGTCACGTGAGTATTTTTTCTAGCGTGTGCTCGGTGCTGCTCTCCAAGTTACAATTATTTGCTGACTCAAACAGAAGTTAATTCATGTTTGTAAGTGTAAAAATGAATTCCTTTTCCTGAAAACTAAGCTAGAAGGCTCGAAAGATGAGGGAGGAAAAGGGAAGAGTTGACTCTTGGGTGTGGATTTGTGAGTCTATACATAGGTCTTCGGTGTGTATCTTTGCTTGGCGAGTGAAGGCTCTGCGTGAAACTGTCTGTAGGGGACTTGGTTTCTGAGAAGTGGTAGCAGCATTGAGGCTGCTTGGATCTGTTAGGAGGGCACCAAAAGCATACTTAGGTATCCTGTTCACTGCCTGTTTTTTGGAGGGTAGGAGACTCAATCAGTGGAGTGATTTTTTTTTTTTTCCCCTTTTCAAAGTAGTGAGAAAGAACACCTGAGACAAATCCCCTGACCCCTCCTCTCTGTTAAGTGACTTAAGCAAAATATATTAAAGTGCATTTATTCTGTGAGTGTGAGAGAAAGAAAGATAGAGATAAAAAGATAGACCCTTGACAGGATCTGGATGCCACCATTTGCCCCAGTACACTCAGGGCAAGCATGCACCTGGTGTACTCAGTCAACAAGGAATGGGTCAGCCTTGCAGAATCTTGTGTTTAACGCTGTCCACACTGTCTGATCACTGAAGTGACTTTTGTGGGGTGGTGGTTTTGCATTTATACATTAATGCTGTTTTTGTGTTTGAAATTCTAAATAAAACATTATTTTTCTTTTTTTCCAGGAAAGTCCTCAGAGGAAAAAAAGGAAATCAGAAGCTATAGGAACTGGTGACCAGATTGACTTGTTGGCGCTTGGTACAGCAGTTGGTAGCATTTTATTATACAGTACAGTAAAAGGAGAATTACACAGTAAATTAATAGTAAGTGTATACACATATGTTTTATATAAAATGTACCACAGGGAAGCTAATTTTAGAGATTTTAGAAAACTATGCATATGTGATGGAATCTGCACTTTAGGAACAGTTTTCTGACTTGTAGATTTTTTTTTTTATAATTATTTTAATTATAAAAGAGCACATGAGCAAGTAAGCTGCCAGGTCTGGGACTCAAACCGCAGTCGGCCATGTGGGAGTCCAGCACCCTTAACGACAAAGCCACCTGCTGGCCCCTCTGACTTGTAGATGTTTATTAGTAATAATTGATAAGTGATCTGATAGGTAACATAGTTCCTATTATATCAAAGAATGAAGACTTATTGACTAGGTTTAAAGAAAGAAAGGATTAAAGAACTCAGAGGTATCAAAGAGACTGCAGGATGCTGCTTACTACCCCTTGGGCTGGAGGACAAAGGAGGCAGGTGGAATTGTTGAAACGGAGACCTTTTAGAAGCAGGTGTTACTCTTTTGGTGCTGCTGTCTCTTGAGGAGGAGTAACCCCCTGGGCTTGGGGACCAGACCTCAGAGGAGGGGCCTCCAGCTGCCTGATGCTCATGTGTCTCTGAAGGGAAGTGATGAGGCTGTTTCTCTTGGGTTGGAAAAACTGGGTGTTGGGTTCCATGGCTGCTGGAAGGCATTGTTACCAAGGGGATAGGAAGGAACAAGTTCTTAATTACCTCTAGGCTTGTCTCTCTCCATCACCCTTTATTGGCAGAGCCTGTGGTTCCAGCTGGCAATGCAGAACTGTGGCTTTTGTAGTCCCAGTGCCAGCATCGCAGAGTACAGAAGGGTGGGCTCGGTGCTGGAAGGCAGTAACTTTTAAGTCATTGTTTGCTTCAAATGATATCTATTACAGTGTATTTGTTGTTCACTGGATTCCTGTATGTAGGCTATTCTCGGGATCTTGGGCATGTGCGCCCACACGCCCAGAATGACTTTGAAGCTGCCAGGTCTGGGACTCAAACCGTGGGCAATCGATTACATGGGAGTCCAGCAATGTAACCGTTATGCCATCTTCTTGTCCCTGTAGGAATAATTTATGTTATGAATAAAATAAGGTTTTCATTTAGAAAATGTCAACCCATAGAATATTTAGATCTATATGAAATTGAGAAAGGAAATAATTTATTAGTCAAAATCTGTCACCACTCTGATAGCCACAAAGATATCCACTCTGTCAATAGTTGGTGTATTTCTTGCCTTATACGTATATTTAAAAAACAAATTTGGGTTCTGTCTATTGTGTATCTTGAATTTTTTTAGATGAAATTACCACATAGATCCTATGTTAAAAACATTTTAAAAAATAATTATTTAATTTAATTTTTTTTTAAAAATTTGACCTGAGAGAGAGAAAGGAAAATGAGAAAGGAAGCCTCTGGGTCCAGGATTTGAAATGCTTTCAACCATGTGGGAGTCCAACGCTTTAACCACCACAGCATCTGCTGGCCCTGTCAAAAACTATTATAAACATTTCTTATGACTTTCTAAAATCCCACTGAAACGATAGTCTGTTGGTTATTTAACTATAATTGACCATTTATTTAGTGGTTTCCAACTTTTTGTTTTTTAAATTGTAGAATGATGAATGTTTTTTCCTTCTTCTATGGCTTCTCAAAATTACTAACCTGTAATGACTGAGTCACAGGTTTTGAGTGTTAAGAACATCTTCTGAAAGAATTTTCCTAATTTATACTTGGATCGGCTATGGAGGGCCAGTATATTTCTTTCTTTCTTAAGAATTACTTATTTCACTTTTTATTGTTTTTGAAAATTTGCTATGAGGCATACACACTCACCAGAGAGAGACAGAGAGTTAGAGAGACAGTGAGAAAGCAAGTCACCAGCTCTAGGACTTGAACCGTGGTTGGCCATGTGAAAGTCTAGTGCCATAACCACCATGCCACCTGCTGGCCCTGGGACAGTATGTTTCAGCAGTATGATTGCCATCACTGTATATCCCATTAAAACAGTACCAGTGGGGGCCAGCAGGTGGTGTAATATTTAGGGCACTGGACTCCTACAAGGCTATATGAGTCCTGTATAGCCCGGTACCTTGCATTTTGAAATTCACACTGAGCGTGTTTGCAGGTGTGCATGTCCAGAATCCTGAGAGGAGAATGGAGGAGAGGAAATTGCGGTGTGGCCATGTCTCCAGGGGTGATTTCTTACTTTCTCTCTGCCTATCTCTCTCTCCACTGAGCGTATATGCCCTTTAGCAAAGATCTCTTAAAAAATAGCAGTACTAATGACAAAAACAGCTTATTTGATAAATTTTTTAAAAATTAAAAAAATTAAACCCCTTTTTTCTGATTTTTAAATCCAATTTTAAATTAGATTACTTGTTTTCTTCCTCAACTTTATAAAAATAATGTGTACTTATAAAATAAAATAATTAAGGCATTCAGATAGCTGTATAGCAAGAAAAATGTTTGCTCCTTTCTCTCTTCCAAGTCATGGGTGGCCCTCAGGTGGGCTCTTTGCTTCACTGACGTTGGGAGCCTGGCCTTTGATTTGAATAGTTAACTTTTTCCTATGCAGTGTGATAGCCGCTTTGCTTGGCCCTTGGAGCTGCCGACATGGAGGCCAGAACCCTTTCTAAAATCATTTCAATATCTTGAGGAATTTTAAGTACATCTTTAAGGGAGGTGAATTCATGAGAAAGGAACTGAGAGAATCAGTATGAGGAATGTTGATCTGGTGTGATGAAGTAGAAAGGGGATGAGGCTTTGGAGGTAGATCTGTCCTGAGATTGAATCCTACTAGTGTGCAATCATTGATAAATAATTTAATCTCTTATTTCTTAAGTGGGTGTTAGACAGTTTACCTTGCATGATTTTATTGAGGTATCAATATGTTGGAAGTATCTGGCAGGTAAGTGGTATTTACTAGATGACTTGTTGACCGAGTATGTAATCAGACTGGTTTCCAAAAAGGTATGCTAAATGTCATGCCTCTAGCTGTGGATAGTGCCATTTTTACTGTTACTTTACGTGTGCACATTACGCTAAACACATTGCTAGATGAAGAGACCAAAGTGCTGATTGTGATTTGTCTTTCTTTCTTTTTTTTTGAGCGGTTTTTTGCTATAGGGCATGTGCACTTGCCAGAGAGACAGAAAGTAAGAAATCACCCCCCCCAGTGGGGATGGCCATGCTGCAATCCCTTCTCCTCCATTCTCCTCTCAAGATCATGAGCACGCACACACACGTGCCCGGCGTGAGTTTAAGCTATGGGGTCTGGGACTCGAACTGTGTTCAACTATGTGGGAGTCCAGCGACATAACCATTACTCCAACTGCTGGTCCCATGTGATTTGTATTTCTTTGATTACTTAACAAGGTTGAATATTTCTATACTGAATTCTTTCTATGGAATTTATATGTTTATATTCCTTGTTTAAGTCTTTGGGTGTGTGCATATTATAGGCCTTAGCACAGAAAGAAAGTAACTGAACTTAACATCTTACAGTATTTTTTGTGGGGAGGGATAATCTTATTTGTAAATAACTTCAGTGATTTTGAGTAATCACTCAAAAGGGTAAGTTATTTAAATGTGTACATAGCAGTGCTGCATCGTATTTATTTTTACTAACTTCGAATTCAGGTGGAAAGAGGGACAGTAACTGCTTACAGTGTAGTTGGTTTAGCACTTTATTATGCTCAGTGGATTTGTTCTGGAGTCCGTTTGAGATGGGAGATGTGAATGAGCCTTTCCCAGTTAATGTTTCCTTTCTTGTGTGCTCTGAGAGAGTACCTTGCGGTGTTGTGTGTAAAGTATCGTTCACATGGTAAGATTTATTACAAGTGGAAACATTAATGTTTACCTGAAGAAATAGTGATTTCTTGGGGCCGGCAGGTGGCGTGGTGGTCAAGGGTGTTGGATTCCCACATGGCCAACCGTGGTTTGAGCCGCAGACCCGGAGGCTGTTGTGCTCTCTCTCTCTCTCTCGCGCTCTCTCTCTCTCTCTCTCTCTTTCTCTTTCTCTCTCTCTCTCCCTCCCTGTGTGTCTCTCTCTGGAAATATTAAAATAATAAAGTTAAATAAAATAAATATTTAAAAAAAAAGAAAAAGAAATAGTGATTTCTTTAAAAAACAATTATTTATGGGGCCTGCAGGTGGCGTGTTGGTTGAGGTTGCTGGACTCCCACATGGCCTACCGTGGTTCAAGTCCTGGACCTGCCAACTTGTTTTCTCATTTTCTCTCACTAACTCTCTTTGTCCCTCTCTGATCAAATTAAAATAATAAAATTTAAAAAATAATTTATTTTATTTTATTTGTTGTTGTTATTCTTCAGCTTGACCAGAGAGGGGGTGGGGTGGGGGGGGAGAGAGAGAGAGAGAAAGAGAGAGAAAGAAAGAAAGAAAGAGCGAGCAAGCAAGCAAGCAAGCCACCAGGTCTGGGACTCAAACTTTGGTCAGCCTATGTCCAGCTCCTCAACCACCATGCCACCCGCCAGCCCCACGATTTCTTTATTGAAAGATTTGAGTACTTTTTTTTTTTTTTAAGTTTTTTTTTAAGGTTTTTGCCATAAGGCATGTGTGCTCACCAGAGAGAAAAAGAGGGAAAGTGAGAAACCACCCTCCACCGCCCCAGTCAATCCCTTCTCCATTCTCTTCTTGGGATTTTGGGTATGCATGCATATACTTCTGGTGTGATTTTCAAGCTAAAGGATAGGACTTGAACCATGGTTGGACCATGTGGGAATTCAGTACCTTAACCACCATGCCACCTGTTGCCCCACTTTTACTACTTTCAAAAAGGATTTTCATAGTGTTTTTTTTTTTTTTAAACTAAACTTGGCTTTTATGCTAAGTGTTGATTTTGTACACAATAATTGAACTTTACTACTACTTTACTCAAGTGCCATAAACTTTTTGCCATTGTTCATGGAATATTTTGTCATGCTTAAAGCTGTCATTCCTGTCAGAAGCAAATTGCTTCTAGGATTAATATTCTTTTTTTTTTTTTTTGGAGAGGTTTTTGCTATAGGATGTGTGCGCTCATCAGAAAGAAAGAGACAGAAAGTGAGAAATCACCTCTTGGGGGGGATAGCCACGCCACAATCCCTTCTCCTCCATTCTCCTCTTGGGATCTTGGGCATGCATGCACACGTGCCTGGTGTGAGTTTAAGCCACCAGGTCTGGGATGCAAACCATAGTCGACTACATGGGAGTCCAGCGACATAACCATTACGCTAACTGCTGGCCCCATAGGATTAATATTTTTTGACTTCGGTGTAGAAGTAGGTTTTCCCAACAGAAAAGAATGAGAGGTAAACATTTGATGGTCTAGCTGGTTTATCTTATTTTTGGCATTGGAAAACTGTAATGATGAGAAGTAGGTCAAGGCTTAGTTAGGGGAAAGCCTAACATTTTAGTTAACTGGTAATGGCTCCAGGGTTCTTATCATATAAAACAAGTTTTATTTTATTTTTTAAATCTGCAGAGTGGTGGACATGACAACAGAGTCAATTGCATACAGTGGCATCAAGACGGTGGCTGTTTATATAGTTGTTCAGATGATAAACATATTGTGGAATGGAACATACAGACCTGCAAAGTAAAGTGGTGAGTAAGATTGATGACTCTGTGGCTTGGAAAGATGGCCCGGTTACTGTTTGGAAATGTGCCAGAGCTTGACAAATCATGCTGGACACAGTGGGCAGTGTAGACATAAGGCAGTGTAGACTGTTCACAGGAAAACTTTTTGTTTGGAGAGATTTTTTTCTGTAGGGTGCATTTGCTCACCAGAGAGACAGAAAGTGAAAAATCAACCCCTGGGGGAATGACCACGCCGCAATCCCTTTTCCTCCATTCTCCTCTTGAGATTTTTGGCACACATGCACACATACCCTGTGTGAATTTTCTTTTTCTTTTCTTTTTTTTTTTTTAAGAGGTTTTTGCTATAGCGCACTTGCGCTCACCAGAAAGCCAGAGAGTGACAGACAGAAAGCGAGAAATCACTCCCTGGGGGGATGGCAATGCCACAGTCCCTTCTCCTCCATTCCCCTCTCGGGATCTCGGGCACTCATGCACACGCGCCCGGCATGAGTTTAAGTAACCAGGTCTGGGACTTGAACCATGGTCGACTACATGGGAGTCCAGCGACATAGCCATTACGCTAACTGCTGGTCCCAACCCTATGTGAATTTTAAGCGGCTGGGTCTGATACTCGAATTGCTGTCGACTCTGTGGGAGAGCAGTGACTAAACCATTCCACCACTGCTGGCCCCAGGGAACTTTTAAAAAATTTGTTGGGTTTAAGAAAAAAAATCATTTCATCTGAGAGAGAGAAACAGAAACGCTCAAACAGGGTCCTCATACTGTGATCTAGCTCTGAATCATGGGCATGTGTATTCCTGGCATGCTCAGGGAAATTGCTAATGAGAATCTAGAACCTTCCCATATGGTTCACTCTCAAAGAACACTGCATTGCTTTTTTTTTTCTAAGAGATTTTTTGCTTTAGTGTGCTTTCTCTTGCCAGAGAAAGAGACAGACAGACAAAAAGTGAGAAATCACTTCCCCCCGGGGGGATGGCCACGCTGCAATTCCTCCTTCATTCTCCTCTTAGGGTCTTGGATACACACGCACACACACACACAGACACACACACCCAGCTTGAGTTTTTTTTTGGAGAGGTTTTTGCTGTAGGGCTGGTGCACTCGCCAGACAAACAGACAGAGAGACAGAAAGCGAGAAATCACCCCCCAGGGGGGATGGCCACGCTGCAATCCTTTTCCTCCATTCTCCTCTTGGGATCTTAGGCATGCACGCACATGTGCCCGGCGTGAGTTTTAAGCCACCGGGTCCAGGACATGAACTGCAGTCGACTACGTGGGAGTCCAGCGACATAGCCATTACGCTAATTGCTGGTTCCCCCAGCTTGAGTTTTAAGCCACTGGGTCTGGTAAGCTGGTAGTTGGCCATGTGGGAGTCCAGCGACAAAACTATGTCATCTGCTGGTCCCAAGTACTGTGTTGTTTTAAAACCAACATCTATACCCTCTACCCCTGAACTTTTTATTAGATTGAGTGTGCAGTCCTTTTTTTAAGATTTTTCCATAGGGAAAAATCTTGCCAGAGAGAGGGATAATGAGAAATCACTTCCTGGGGGTGGGTGACCACACTGTTATCCCTTCTCTATTTTCCTCTCAGAATAAATACCTGGTGAGTTTTTTTGGTGGCTGAGTCTGGGACTCAAACTGAGGAATTTGCTTTTGGGATATAGTGTCTTAAACACCATGCCACCTGCTGACTTTAACTATTTATTATTATTATTTTTTTAAAAGAGACAGAAATAGAGAGAGGCTTTTTTGACAGCCTCCATTGTAATTCTTCTGTTCCAGCCTCCTAGTTACCAGTACTGGAGTGTGTTACCACACCTAGCCTGCTAGGTTTATGAGCTGAACCTGGGCCTCCCATGCAGCCCCAGCCTGTGCAGTAGTACCCTGCTGCTTGTGTTAGCACAGGTGGGCTTGGGAATGTAAGACTTTCATACATAAAAGCTTTTAATGATATAAGAATAAAATAATTGTGTAAGAGGTAACATAGTGGCATGTGATTACTTGTCATAAGAATACAGTAGTGTTGGGAAGGCCTGAGGAAGAGAAGGGATTTGCTTTGGACCTTCTAGGGAAGATAAGATTTGCATAGCTCTAGCCTAGTGGCATAGCCTGTAGCAAACTGAACTGCCGTGCAGGAAGCCACGTGGCGGACTGGGTGGGTGGGCTCAGATCCCCCAGATCTCCAGATGAACACTTGCTGGGTACATTTATGGGTACTAAGGATCTTTAGGAGCTAGTGGGCTGGAGGAAGGGGATTATAGTAGGACAAGACTCTGTTGAGGTGGGTGCTTTCTCTCTCTCTCCTGTGTACATGTGCTATCTTGAATCTAGCAAATAAAACTTAAAAAAGATTTTGTGGCCAGATCCTACATCGCCAACTGCTGTTTCAGTCTTGGCCCTGGCAGCTCGAAGAATAAGGAGCACTTCGAGTGCCGTGTGTATGCCTGCCCGGAGTCCCGACAGTATGCAGAAATGGAGGAGAAAGGATTGTAGCGTGACCATACTCTGGCTGGAGTCAGGGTGCTTTCTCCTTCCTCTGTCTTGCTTCGGTGAGCACACCTGCCCTCTGGCAACTAAAGATTTGGATAGTAGAGAGTGGGAGAATCTTTTCACAGATGGTAAGGAAAATGCAGAGATTGCAGGAGCAAAGGCCAGGTGTTAGGGAAGTGACAGATTCACTTGGTACTGAGTAAACTGATGTAGAGGAGGAGTATACTGAGGTTAATAGATGGTAGAGTTTCTGACAGAGCATCTTAGAAGCCGTGTCATAGATGAAAATCATATGTTGTATGTCAGGTGCCTAGTCGTGTGATTGGCTGTATCACGCACAATAAATGTGCACTCTTAAATACAGTTCAGCTTACTCCATGGAGGATGATGCTGAGGAGTGTAATAATGCCCCTGGTCCTGTAGCTGGTAAGTGGGATTGTAATCTCCCTCTCAGATTCTGGTACAGTGTTTTACTATTGGACTGAAAGTGCTTTGTTGGGGTTTTAGATTCTATCTGGTGAGCCGCAGAGAGCCATTGAAGGTTAGTATGTTGGAAATAACGTAACCACAGTTAACCCTCGGAAAAAGTAATCTGTTGGTATGGTTTAGAAGTCAGGGGGGATGAATTAGTTTAAAGGCAGAGAAACCAAGTAGGAGATTATTATTATCATCCTTTGTTCTGATGGTAAGAGTAGGAAAAAAAGAGTGGCAATAATACTCAGAGGGATCTGCAACACTTGGAGTGAAGGAAGGGCGATGAGTGACAAAAAGGAGTTGAATTAAAGGTAATTAGTAAGTTTATAGCTTTGTTAACTTATTGTTTAACTTATTAGGCATGTAGACCGATTGAGAGGAGGGGCATTCTAGGAGATCCATAGTGGAGGGTAGAAGTTATCAGAAATTATAGATAAAAGAGGGAAATGGTTTGGGGTTTTTTACAAGTTGAATTTGATATGACAAGTGAAAGAAAAACAACCCAGCAGAGAAGGTGGTGATAGATAGAGGCTTACAATTTATGGAGGGTTTGGGACTGGAAGTGCAGGTGAGTACATCACCTCCCTAGAGGTTTAGGAAGTGTGCTTCTTTTACTTGCAGCAAATATGGTAGTTTCCTGGTGATCTGTCAGATTAGAGATTATGATCTAGTAGGTCTGGAGAGGGGCCCTTGTTACTGTTTTCTGAGTGAAAGTTCACAGTCACGTCCTACACACAGACAGTAATGTTGAAAGCCCCTGTCGGCATATTATATCCATCATTGCAGGTTCTTTTTTTTTCTCTTTATGTGCATCTACCTGAGATAGCGAGTGAATGAGAGGAACAGAGAGAAACACCCTTGATAGGATCTTCATGTGCTGCAGTTCCTTTCTGTTAGTCCTCCAGCTTCTCAGGGTCTTGGGTGCTAGCTCACCCAGCATGTTTTCATATGTTCAAGCTCACCTGGGGATCCCATCTTGTAGGCAGCTGCATGGCTTCCAGCCTTATCTGGCAGGATTACAAAGCATTCTCATATTTTAATACTTTTATTTTTTTATCCAAACATTTTCTGATACTTCTTCAGAATCTTTATCCTGTGCTTACTAAAGGAAGATTACTTTGCTCATACAGGTGACTTTAGTGTGACGGTATGTCCAGAGTTGCCCTACTCAAGCTTTTGAGTGTGTGTGGTGTAATGTAGGAACCTAGTGTTGTTTTTCCAGATAACTTATTTGATATATTTCAATATGATTGGCAGAATGATAAGTTTTTCTCCTACTCTAGAATTTACTTCTTTTGGCAATAAGGTTCATACCTCCTCTTTTTTGGGGGGGAGAGGTTTTTTTGCTATAGGGTACATGTGCTTGTCAGAAAGATGGAGACAGAGAGACAGAGAGTGAGAAATCACCCCCAAGGAGCATGGCTACGCCGCAATCCCTTCTCCATTCTCTTCTCAGGATCTTGGGCATGCACACGTGCCTGGCGTGAGTTTGAGCCACTGGGTCCAGGACTTGAACCATGGTCAACTATGTGGGAGTCCAGCGACATAGCCACTATGCCAACTGCTGGTCCCCATACCTTCTTTTTTTTAGTTTAGTGTTTCTTTTGGTGGGGGTG